GGGTGTGGGTGGGTGTGGGGGTGGGGGTGTGAGTGGGTGTGGCGGTGGGGGTGTGGGTGTGAGTGGGTGTGGGTGTCGGTGTGGTGGGTGTGAGTGTGGGTGTGGGTGTGGATGTGGGTGTGGGTGTGAGTGTGGGTGTGGGTGTGGGTATGGGTGTGGGTGTGGGTGTGGATGAAGACAATATCGACATCCACACCCACCCACATCCACACCCACACCCACACCCACACCCACTCACATCCACACCCACACTCACACCCACACCCACCCGAAACGCCCATTCATTTCAATACCTGATTAATAATAATTTTAAAAAAGCTAAATGAAATAACTGTGTTTCGCGTGTTCGTTTAGTCAAGATATTACATGTAGGCAATATGAAGATGAGTAATGAATTACTAAACAACTTTGCCCAAAATTAAGAGAATCAATGATCCTAAGGATGTACATACCAAATTGATATATATCAAGATGCCAAAAAAGTTGCCCACTTTAGTGGGTGTGGGGTGTGGGTGCGGGTGCGGGGTGTAGATGTGGGTGTGGGTGGGTGTGGGTGTGGGTGGGTGTGGGTGTGGGTGTAGGTGTGGATGGGAGGTGCTGGTGTGGGTGTGGGTGGGAGGTGCGGATGTGGGTGTGGATGAAAACAAGACTTACACCCACACCCACACCCACACCCACACCCCCATCCACACCTACACCTACACCCACACCCCCATCCACACCTACACCTACACCCACACCCACACCCGAACAACAAAGTCTTAATTATCAATATATTCTGCATAGAATGAAATATAAACTAAAATTCATATGAATCGAATGTTTCTAATTATTCTTGATATAAATAAGGATTGTAATAGTAAGTTTTGCTTAAAATAAAATCTATAGAATTTTTCATTCGATAATGAATTAAATATTGAAAACTGATCTTTCATTACTTTTCCTAATGACACCCACAATGAAAAATAAACAAAGTGCCTGAAATGAGACGTTTCCCCACATCCACACCCTAACTGCAAATATCCTTGAAAAAATAGTTATAAACGATCGAAAGTTATTCAAAACATAATGGTTGGCACTTTAAAAAATCGGACAATAATTGCCGCAAAAAATTAATGAATAACATGCATAGTTTGTCATCACTAAATTCAATATTTTATCGCTTTATTAAATTATTCAAACCAAAAAAAATTGAACGTTATTTTCAATTGTCAAAAACATGCAAAACAGAAATCCAAAAAAAATGTATGAAT